TATTCATGTGTTAGAATGGCCCAGTCAAAGTCCAGACCTAAATCCTATTGGGAATCTGTGGTAAGACTTGAAAATTACTCTTCACAGACGCTTTCCATCCAATCTGACTGAACTGGAGCTACTTTACAAAGAAGAATGGGCAAAAATTGCAGTCTCTAGAAGCTGGTAGAGACAAACCCCAAAAGACTTGCAGCTGTAATTGCAGCGAAAGGTGCTTCAACAAAGTATTGACTCAAGGGGGCTGAATACATATGCACGCCACACTTTTCAGATTTTTATTTGTAAAAAAATCTTGAACACCACATATCATTTTCCTTCCACTTCGCAATTATGTGATACTTTGTGTTGGTCTATCACATAAAATCCCAATAAAATACATTTAAGTTTGTGGTTGTAATGTGACAGAATGTGGAAAAATTCAAGGGGTATGAATACTTTTGCAAGGCACTGTATAGATCCTTTCTACTTCAAGAAAAAAAAAAGTGTAACTCTGTTCAGTCATTTAATACAAAGACCAGTTTTGCTTTCACTATTAGTAATTCCATCACACCAGTTAGATGAGTTCTCTCTCAGCCAATAGGAAGAGAAGGGGGCATGAGATACAGTACCATGGGAGGGTTGCTGTCCATCATGCTGACCACCTGGATGTCCATCCCCTCCTCGTTTACATCTTTCAGCAGACGCATGACTTCACTCACACCCATCCATTTGCAGTCAGTGTCACCCACAGCAACAATGTAGTCATTTTCATTGAGTCCATCAGCCTGAAAAAGACATGAGGAAGAACAGAAGTTAGAGGAAGGCTAGTGAAACACCCTAATCCTGCAAAGGACAGAGTACATATTTACAGAGGAAAGTTTGTTTGAATGGCAGCCAAGTCTGGTTCACCTACTCCCCTTTAACATCCCAGAGCCAGCTGGGATCAGCAGAGAAAACACTCCATAGCTGTGGGAAATCTGTCTTATCTATATGTGCTCAGCTATTTCTTTCTGATAACTTGGTCACAAGAGGCAGGTCAACAACTCTGGACAATTACTCAACTCAGTTCTAATATAACTCTTGCTGAATGCAGAAAAAAATTTATGAAGACTTTGGCCTAGTTAAGCTTATGTAAAAACCACTAATCTGTTTCGGTGCACAGCCTGCGGGGCCTAATAAGAGTCTGTTCTTTGTCAGCACCTCTTAATGAGCTGTCAGACAAAAAAGGAGCGATGAACTGGCGATCTGTCCAGGGTGTACCCCACCTTTCACCTGATGCCGGCTGGGATTGGCTCCAGGCCTCGCCAGTCCAGATGAAAACACAACTTCACATGGTCCAAAATGAACGTTTATGCAACATAATTTCTAGACTTTCTTTGTATATTTGGACATCCATTTGACATGTTCACCACACTTTACTGCACCAGACTTCTGTAACACTTTACCCAGTGTAAGTATGGTTGAAGAACCTCTTGCCCTATTACCTGTGAGATAAAAAAAGTGAGGCAGCAGTAACTCCCTTCATTTAGGATTTTCAAACCACACCCTCAAAAACTCATAAACATGCATTAACCCAGCAACAGTAATAGCAACTGGGGTAAGATTAATGTCACAATAGCATACATTTTCAAAATAGCTAGAAAGTTAGCTGAATGACTGTGAAAATGTTATTTAGCAAATCAGCTAATGTGACATAAGTGTTCCCAGGAAATAAGGATATTCGCCTTTATTTGGCCAAGTATGTTACGCACAAGAAATTTGTTTCCGGTACAAAACCAAATATTGTCCTGATTCCAACATGAAGACTTAGGATGTCCACTGGTGTCCAGCAGAGGTTCAATATCTTTTGGGGACCTACACTGGAGGTCAGTAGACATTCAAAACAGGTCTAAAACATATGCCAGTGTTTTGAGCGAGGGCATAATCTCCAAGCGGGAGCAGAGGACACCACGCACTTTTCAGCTGTCAGAAGAAAATAAATTATCCCTGCTCAAAATGTGAAACTGACTCCAAAACATCCTGATTGTTCACTGAGCTCCTCCTGCTTCATGTTGGTTTACATATCAACCAGCAACAGTGAACACGTCAGCTGTGCACAGGGCTCACAACTGGTCAGCATGTGCCAGAGTTTGGCCAGCCTGTGCCCTGCTTGTGTCATGTAGACCTACAGATGATCACTCACAGGTAAAACAATCTGTTTAAATCCCAGCAACACTGGAGTTAAATGTAAAGTCTGTTTCTGCTGCTGACGTTTATCTCCATGGCCCCTAATGGAGAATACGCTCTAGTTTGTTAGTCTGGATGATCCGAGTGTCATTCTATCACTTGTCTTTTGTAAGCAGGGTCTGTAGTCAACACCAAACAGTGAAAAACTGTGAACCATTCACATTATCCATATGTGATTGGACAAAACACTTGCGGGTGCCAATTCTGTGCAACGGAGTGCACGCTGTGTGCGGCATAAGGTATGAATGAAAGAGTAACTGGGAGAAAGCCACAAAGTCAGATTGAGGATTTCACCCTTGGTTTTGAGTTGCATCCACTTTCATTTTGAACCTTCTGAAGACACCTGATGGATGTCCAAATTGACTGTATAGTGTCTTGCTAAAGTATTCATACCACAACTTTATCCCTGATCTGTCTGGTGTGTTCCTTAGTGTTCATGATGCTGTTTGTTCACTAATGTTCTCTAACAAACCTCCTTTACAGAACAGCTGTATTTATACTGAGAGTGAATTACACACAGGTGGACTCTATTTACTAATTAGGTGACTTCTGAAGGCAGTTGGTTGCACTGGATTTTATTTAGGGATATGAGAGTAAAGGGGGCTGAATACATATGCACGCCACACTTTTCAGATTTTTATTTGTAAAAAATCTTGAACACCATGCACCATTTTCCTTCCACTTGACAAATATGTGATACTTTGTGTTGGTCTATCACATAAAATCCCAATAAAATACATTTAAGTTTGTGGTTGTAATGTGACACAATGTGGAAAAACTCAAGGGGTATGAATACTTTTGCAAGGCACTGTATAAGAAGACGCATATACTTTCATTCTGGCTACTCAGGGGACCACTTTTTCAATGTCTGACACAGATCTCAATTAGACATCCTTGGCACGTCTTTCTGTTTAGTGGGTATATGTCAGAGATATCCAAAAGAAAGGTGGTCCATGCTAGACGTCATAATAATGAACTTGTATTAGACATCCAAAGACATCAAAATGAGTCATATCCAGACATCAGGGTTTGAAAATCTATTGCACGTCTCACAAATGTTCAAAAAAAAATGTCCAAGCAACTTTATGTAGATGCCACATGGACATTGGGTGTTTGCTGGGCAAGAAATTTAGATACTTTAGATGTTAACTCATCCAGAAAGATCGACACATCTGAATCTTATTCACCTTTTAACAATCTCCATCTCAAAAAGCCAAACCAATGTTAACCATAGTTTGTGCTCTTTTTTTGTTCCATTCTCTCTGCACTAAACAACATGGTCTCTGATTTCAGACTTTTGCCTGACAAGAGCTCCTACATGACTGGCTGTTTAAAATGCCTACTCTTGATTTGAAAAGATTTTCTTCTATCATTCACTAGGTGGCAGGTGGGGCTAATTTACAGAATGATTCTTGAAAACAGAGGGTAGAGAGGAAGGAATTATATTAGAGGTTTTGGAGGCAGCAGAGTGTCATGGAGAGGGGCAGAATGCCACTGACATCAAGACAAGGAAGCTCCTTACAATGCACGGAGGGTTTCATCCCAGATCCAGCATCCTGAGACTGTACAGTAAGCAGAAGGAAGGAGGCCGAGGATTAGTGAGCATCAGAGCCACTATCCAGGATGAAACAACAAAGATCCACGAATACATCAGGAAGATGGCCCCGAGTGATGACGTGCTTAGTGAATACCTCAGGCAGCAGAAACCAGAGGAACTAGGGAAGGAAGAGCAGTTTTCAGGAACCCTCATGGAAGGACAAACCTCTGCACGGTATGTACCACCATCAAATAGTAGAAGTGGCTGATATCGAAAAATCCTACCAGTGGCTGGACAAAGCTGGACTGAAAGACAGCACAGAGGCATTAATCCTGGCAGCACAAGAACAAGCTCAAAGTACAAGATCAATAGAGGCCGGGGTCTACCATACCAGACAGGACCCCAGGTGCAGGCTGTGCAAAGATGCCCCTGAGACAATCCAGCACATAACAGTGGGGTGCAAGATGCTAGCAGGCAGGACATACATGAAATGCCATAACCAAGTGGCTGGCACAGTGTACAGAAACATCTGTGCCAAGTACAGGCTGGAAGTCCCAAAGTCAAAATGGGATGCACCTCTGAAGGTGGTTGAGAATGACCAGATCCTGTGGGACTTCAAGATACAAACTGACAAACTGGTAATGGCCAACCAACCGGACATAGTAGATCTGACATTTCTGTCCAGAAGAGTGCAGTCCTAGAAACAGCTAAGATACTGCGCAGGATCCTCAAGCTCCCAGGCCTCTGGTAGAGGACCCAAGCTTGAAGGAAGGAATATAAGACTGCCCTGAAGTGGGGCAAGTGGGGAATTTTATTTAATTTTTTTATATATGTAAAATATACCTTTAAAATAAAATCCAAGTTTTCCAGTTTATCCAATAATATCCAGTATATCACAGTTCATCATTCAAAAGTAAAAAAGGACAAAAAGACAGTCACGAGAACTATACAAATATTTTGTATTTAATTAACTACAAATCAAATTTTGGCAGCTAAGAAATATAGGGTAAACTCACAGCAGCTGGGCAGAGAGGATCCAGTGAAACCACCTGGACTGGTGATTCTCCTTTCAGGGTGAAACCAAGGTCTCTGTCTTCTGGACAAAGTCGTACTGTCCGTGGAGCTGTCCATCGCTGCTTGGCTGAGAAGACTGAGAGAGGGCCCTGAGCGGAGACAGTTGGGGTGGGGGGGGACAAGACTTATCATAGACATGCCCTTCTCTTTCATTTAGACTGCTGAAGCCAAATGATATCTTGCATTCTTGTCTGTTGGAAAGGTCTCTCCTCCATTAAAACCTGACTATCAATCCTATGTATCACCAAGATAATGCCTGTTGCTCCAGCTCCTTTAATTATCACCATAGTGGCTGTTTGGAGACAGAGAGCTGGATTTAATTTTTCAGCCTCTCAATTCTCCGCAGACCTCAAGGGATTACAGTCTTGTTGCTGAGACTGTGAAGAGCTAGGTATACTTTTACTACAGAGATATGGTACTTATTCACAAAGATTCCTTAAACCTGTTGTAAACGGTGGTACTGTAGGTCAAAGAAATGACATGCTTGCAACTGAATGTGTCTCTCAGAGGACATGACCAGAGAATGCTGGTACCCTCTCCCAGCCACCAACATACAGTATTTATGTAAACAGTAGGGTAATATGACCTCAAAGGTTGTAGGGGAATAACATGCATATAAGGTGACTTTTAAAGGGGTTTAAGAGACCCCAGCTGGAAATCTTCAGGTAAATAACCAACACCAACTTCAGTAGATATTTTCAACTCCTGCTACCTGCCTCAAAATTAATCACAACAACCTGAGTAGAGTTGAAGCCAGGATCAGAGCACCTCTGTCCATGGTTAGTGTTAGTTTCACATTTGCTGTTTTAGATGAATGTCCAGGAGACTTTGAAAACAAGAAAAAACTTTAGAAGGGCTGGTGGTCAAATGTGCCAAAGCTTCCAGGAGACTCATCCTTGGTTGGTTGTATTCAGAAATAACAAAAATAGACTCTAGCTGTTACACTTTAAGCATCTAAAACACAAATCCAGAGCCATTTCACAGCATTTGCTGGATAAACCAACCAATATGTCTGAAAAACATTTGTGAGTGGAAGAAGATTAGTAACCCACATACCAGCCTCTGGAAAAAGTCGGTGACTTTCACCTTTATGGTTGCAGGAACCTCCATCTCTGCTTTGTGCTCTGTTTTAGCTTTGGAAAGAAAGGGGGGAAACAAAGCTGTCATTCTACAATGTTTACAGTAACTACATTTCAGCTGTCACCCTCTAGCAATGTGGGCAGGGATTAGCAGAGCAAACATTACATCATCTGTACCTGGAAAGAAATGTCACTTATCACATCTGATTGCAGCAGGTGGGGTACACAACAAACCGTTTCCTGAGAGACAAACTCACAAATCAACACAATGGTCACTGCCCTTAACGTCATTTGTGAAGTGTTTGTTGTGGTGATACTAAGGTGACTGGTCAGTTTCTATGTCAACCACAGAAAGAATAGCTCCCACCTCAGTGACACTTAATGGAGACTTAAATAAACTCCATACTTATCCTAACCCACTGTTTATTTAAATAGGATACTTTCATTAGTGGTGGTGTTGCCTCCTTGTAAAACTCACAGATGATATCGGGGGCCTCGGAGTAGTCTGTGAATTCTTCCTCACTGTCATTTTCACTGTATTTGTTGAGTGAGCGCTGGTGGCTGGCTTTTAAAATTTCCTGCAGGACATCCAACTTATGCGTGTTGTGGCACAATCCGTAAATCCTCAGAGCCTCCTCATGACCCATGATTGCCCGTCTAATGTGTGCTTTACCTGGAGAGAGGAAGGAAATTTTGCAATAAAAGAGACAGCGTGAGGGAGAAAAGGGAGAAGAGAACTAGAAAATGAAAAGGAGAGAGAAGATGGACTGAGATGAACAGGGAGAGTCAAGTCTAGCATTAGCAGCACTCTATCTTCAGCTGTCTGCTGTGTTCAGCCTCTATGCTCACTCTTACCAATGTGTTTACGTTCATCTTTTTTCTTCAGGATGTCCAGAGGCGAACGTCCCTCTGGAAAGCAATCGTAGACCTGTGACAAGGTCTTCTCCTGTTGGTCTTCATCATCGGTGGGGCCCACTGACACATAGAGAACACAATGAATTATATATATCCATTCATTATCTCCATTGTCTCCACTTGGAGACAAACAACCACACACACACACTCACTCCTATGGGCACTTTAGATTCACCAATCAACCTAAACTGCATTGTCTTTGGACTGTGGGAGGAAGCCTACCTGGCGAGAATCCATGCAGGTACAGGGAGAACATGCAAACTCCACACAGAAATGGTAAATGGTCTTATACTTGTATAGCGCCTTTCTACGCTTTTACAACAGCACACTCAAAGTGCTTTCACATTATTTGGCCATTCACCCATTCGCACTGCCAAGCACTCATGCATTCACACACTGGTGACATCACCGGGAGCAACTGGGGGTTCAGTGTCTTGCTCAAGGACACTTCGACATGTTGACTGGACAAGCTGGGAATCAAACCGCTAATTCTCCGGTTAGGCACTGACCCGGTCTAACACCTGAGCCACAGCCGCCCCAGAAAGGCCCCGGGTCAGCCCGGGCTCGAACCCAATACCTTCTTGCTGTGAGGAGACCGTGCTAACAGGACTAACCGGAGGCAGAGGCAGAGAATTAGCTGGGGCCTCTTTTACAGGCAATGGACGAGGCATGATGCTGTTGATATGGTTGCTGCTGAAGCCTTAATCTGTTTATGTAACAGCTGAAGCATTTCTTCCATTACAGTGTAGCCATGGAGGACACTGCATGGAAATGCTTTTTTGTTTTTTTAATAGTACTACTGATATATATTGTTTGCACAACTGTAATATCTGCTGTGCTATGTGTAGAACTAATTTTCTGTAAAGAAAAAAAAAAAAAAAACAATCTTTGTTTGTGTATTGAAATCTGTATTCTGTGCAGATTTCTGTGCACTTCAATGATCCTTCCCTGCAGAATCCTCTAGTATAAAGCCACCAAAAACAAACGTGTTTTGAATTTTGTGGAGCAGTGTGTCGTTTCCTGAAAATGAAAAGTCAGTTCATTTGAATGAAGTGTGTGGCATTTAGTGCAAAAGTTTGATTTTGATCAGTTTTTTGTAGTTTTATGTGTAGTGCTTCATTATGCAGTGTGTGTCTTGCACTTTGGGTGTGTGATTTTTTAAACTCTGTTAAGTGTTTTGAGACAATGAGTCCTGTTGCCAAAAGTGTGTGTTAGCAACTGGAAAAAAAACTAAAATGTTTCTTGTCCATCTCCTGGTTAATCACCTTTGACAGGTACATCTAAATCACCAGAGCCATCTAGAAGGCTGGCTAGCCTGCTTCACTGAGGCACTGCACAGTGTTTATTTGGCAGTGTTTGAGGTTAATTTGTTTACTGCAGTGGTCTTCATTCTGACCCGTTTCTGGGCTGAGTCCTCATTCTGCATTCCTGTGTTAATTGCTCTATTCTCCTTGTTCCCACAGGAATCATTTAATGAACTGCTGAACTCAAAGCTGCTTCAATCCATTGCCTATTCAGTCCTGTCCCATTCATAGCACTGGGGAAAACTATGCATACTTGTATAATTCAATTTTCAGTTGAATCTTTCATAGACTAAAATAGTAAATGATGAACAAAGAAACTCAAAATCATGACCACAACTAAATGTTTACAGACAAAGGATAAGTCTGGAAATAACAAAGGAATCTGTGCTTTGTTAAATCATTAATTTACTGTGGTTAATCACATTTTTTAGAAAGCTGAGTTCAATTTGACTAGCCACAGCCAGACCTGATTACTGCCAGACCTGTTGAATCAAGAAATCACTTAAATAGAACCTGTCTGACAAAATGAAGTAGGCCAAAGGATCTCAAAAAGCAAGACATCATGCTGTGATCCAAAGAAATTCAGGAACAAATTAACCTTGTTGTTATTTGCACTACTGTCACTGTTTGCACATGGCTTTGAGTTTCATCATAGCCTATTAGGTTGTACCATTTAGTTTATCCTTATTACTTGAATTCAGTTTTCATATTCTATTAATTCTGTGTTTATTCTACTTTTATTCTATTTTAGTTATTAAATGTATGGACATTCAACATTAGGTGAGGGAGAAACAGTATTTCAATTTTTCTGTATTGCCCTGCACATATAGTGAATTGACAATAAAAATCTTTGATCTTTATCTTTTGATCTTTAACAAAGTAATTGACATCTATCAGTCTGGAAAGGGTTACAAAGCTATTTCTAAAGCTTTGGGACTCCAGTGAACCACGGTGAGAGCCATTATCCACAAATGGAGAAAATATGGAACAGTGGTGAACCTTCCCAGGAGTGGCCAACCTAACAAGATTACCCCAAGAGCGCAGGGACGACTCATCCAAGGGGTCACAAAAGAAATCATCATCTAAAGAACTGCAGGCTTCACTTGCCTCAGTTAAGGTCAGGGTTCATGACTCAACCATAAGAAAGAGACTGGGCAAAAATGGCATCCATGGCAGAGTTCCAAGGCGAAAACCACTGCTGACCAAAAACAACAAAGGCTCGTCTCACTTTTGCCAAAAAGCATCTTGATGATCCCAAAGACTTTTGGGGAAATATTCTGTGAACTGACAAGACAAAAGTTGAACTGTTTGGAAGGTGTGCATCCCGTTACATCTGGCATAAAAGTAACAACATTTCAGAAAAAGAACATCATACCAACAGTCAAATATGGTGGTGATGTGATGGTTTGGGGCTGCTTTGCTGCTTCACCTGGATGACTTTCTGTGATTGGTGGAACCACGAATTCTGCTCTCTACCAAAAAATCCTGAAGGACAATGTCCGGCCATCAGTTTGTGACCTCAAGCTGAAGCGCACTTGTGTTCTGCAGCAGAACAATGATCCAAAACACACCAGCAAGTCCACCTCTGAATGGCTTAAAAAAAAATAAAAAAAAAAACTAAATGAAGGTTTTGGAGTGGCCTATTCAAAGTCCGCTTTGGTGTGACCTTAAAAAGGTGGTTCATGCTCAAACCCTCCAATGTGGCTGAATTAAAACAATTCTGCAAAGAAGAGTGGGCCAAAATTCCTCCACAGCAATATGAAAGACTCATTGACAGTTATAGCAAACGCTTGATTGCAGTTGTTGCTGCTGAGGGTGGCACAACAGTTATTAGGCTTAGGGGGCAATTACTTTTCCCACATAGGGCCATGTAGGTTCGGATAGTTTTTTCCCTTAATAAATAAGTTAATCACTTAAAAATTGCATTTTGTGTTTACTTGGGTTATCTTTGTCTAATATTTAAATTGGTTTGATGATCAATGGCACTACTGAGAAATCACTGCAGGGTTTTTGTTCACTCACATCCCTTCCCTTCCTCTCTCACTCAGTCTCTCATTCTCTCTGCCACTTGATTAAGTAGGCAGCATCAAGAGGCTACATCAGTGTAATGCTCCAGCAGTCTACAGTACTTCCATTCAGTTTCACTGTCCCCAACCATCTCTCTCTCTCCACGTAGCCACAGATCAGAGATCGAGGAAACACTGCAGTGTGTGTGTCTGTCTAAATAGCCGTTATGTAATAGCATTGTGGCTGACTGTGGTTCAGTCCTGCCAACTGACATGACCAATGCAGTGACCCATACATCACTTTAAGAGAAGGATCAGGTTTTCCAAGGTGTTCAAAATCAGGCAGCTAAAATCTTATAACTACCACTAGTGTTTTATATCTCAGTGGCACACAGCCATACTAATATCATAAAACAAGTACTGTACAATAAAACTTAGAGGTGGTGTCCAGATGGAGTGGAGGTGGAGGATGAATTTCAATATATTGTCCCTTCCCTACTAAACTATTTTTAAACGGATCACCACAGCAATTTACTATGGTTTTTTTCAGGTAGTTCTTTCATTCTCAGATTTCTCCAAGTCTAAATCCAGTTCAGCTTTTCTCAGTCAACTTTTAGACAGAGAATCTGTGAACTGATTAACTTTTCTAAAAATTGTTTTCCTTACGTTGGTGGTCAAGCAGTGCTGAGCCTACAAAGTAGTGTGCCATGGAGCGGTAGTGGTTGGTTTTGACTTGCGACGTTGTGGACCAGAACAATGGGACATTGTCTTTAATTGGTGTCTGGATCATGGACTGATAGACCTGGTCGTAGATTTCTGAGACCTGGTAGGAAAAGGAAGATAAAGTTACTGAGAGGTCTTTAAAAGCACTGATCTGAATAAAATCACCGACAGATGTGAAGAATCTGACCATGGTAACATTATCACTTTACATTCTTTTTAACTATAGTTTATTGTATTGAGTCCACAGCTAAAAGAAAGAATAGTGTATATATATATAATGTGAGGACTGTGTGTGTGCTTTGCTGTTTGCCTTTGCAGCCTCCTGGGCCATTTTCATCAAGGAGTAGAACTGGTTTCGAATCCCTGGCAGTGCAGTCTTCTCAAACAGACACTCCTGAGCCTGAGCGAGCATCAGCCGTATCAACATACTGAGCATGGCAGGACTCATGTCATAGCTGGGAGTGTGGGTGAACGTTTCCTTCAGGTGGTTCAGGATGCCTGGGGGAGAGCAAGAGGTCAGTACAGCTCCAAACCACACTATTCCAACTTAATAAAATATAATAATCATAGTGACCAATCATTTAGTTCATTTGGGAGGTTCTGTGCCAAAACAGCAGCAAGAGAAGACCAGCCTCATTCATCTTCTCTGTCAAGACAGTCCCAACTTGCATGGCAATCTGAACTAAAGACATTTTGGTCAGGATAACAAAGTCATTTCATGTTTAAAAACAAACATGCAACCTGGAATAAGCTACATCCTATTTATTTGTGAGAACTAAAGTACTTCAATTACTGTACACAGTAAAGCCCCTTTCCCACCGCCCAAAAAACCCATGTAAAGTCACCTCGCCTTGGCTTTTGACGGCAGTGGTAATGCAACTACTTGGACAAATGGCTCTGCAATAAACACGGGTCATTATCTTCTTTGCCTCGGCTTGGAAAGAATGCCAAACTTGGCTAAACCCACAAACATACACAATGATGCGCGCATCGTCATCAGCCCGCTCACCCATAAATTCCCTCAGTCTTTGTTCAATCAATGCTCTAACATGGTTCAATCTACACTAAGTTTCTATATTTTGGAAAGATGAACAGATGTAAATACAAAGAAATAACGCCGACTGTCTCACTATCTTCCATGCTGCTTTGTTTATAAAAATGTTTACCGGCACACGTATTTGACATCACCAATGTGATGACGTCAAATAAGACTTACCAGAGAGGAAAGAAGCTCATCTACTGTAGAGCCAAGCTGGGTCAGTCGGCAGTGGGAATGCCATCAAAAGCCAGGTAAAGGCTGGTTTAGCCAGGTATAAATAAATAAAAAACCCATGTATACACGTACAAACCCCAATTCCAATGAAGTTGGGATATTGTGTAAAATGTAAATAAAAACAGAATACAATAACTTGCAAATGCTTTTTGACTCATTTACTTGAATACACCACAAAAACAAGATATTTATTTGATAACATGTACTGGTTTTTGCAAATATCACTCATTTTGGATTCGATGCCTGCAACACATTCCAAAAGCGCTGGGACAGGGGCAACAGGGGCTTCGTAGTAAAAGAGATAAAAACAGAATACAATAACTTGCAAATGCTTTTTGACTCATTTACTTGAATACACCACAAAAACAAGATATTTATTTGATAACATGTACTGGTTTTTGCAAATATCACTCATTTTGGATTCGATGCCTGCAACACATTCCAAAAGCGCTGGGACAGGGGCAACAGGGGCTTCGTAGTAAAAGAGAGCGGGTACTAGACTGGCCTGCCCGCAGTCCAGACCTGTCTCCCATTGAAAATGTGTGGCATATTATGAAGTGCAAAATACGACAACGCAGACCCCATACATCAAGCAAGAATGGAAAAGAATTCCACCTACAAAACTTCAACAATTAGTGTCCTCAGTTCCCAAACGCTTATTAAGTGTTGTTAAAAGGAAAGGTGATGTAACACAATGGTTAAAATGCCCCTGTCCCTGTGTTGCAGGCATCAAATTCTAAATGAGTGAATATTTGCAAAAACCAATAAGGTTTATCAGTTTGAACATTAAATATCTTGTCTTTGTGGTGTATTCAATTAAATATGGGCCAAAAAGCATTTGCAAGTCATTGTATTCTGTTTTTATTTATGTTTTACACAATGTCCCAACTTCACTGGGATTGGGGTTTGTACTTTTGGTGGGAAAGCAGTATATGATGTTTTAAGCATTTTGTTGTGATAGTATTTCAAGGCCTGCTGGGAAGTAAAGGAATTAAATCTCTTTCCTGTTTCCACAGTGAAGTCAGAGTCAACTATGTAACACACACACCATTCCATGTAATCCAAACAGATAATCCAAGCAGAATTTGTCATTTGTCATTTACACCCACAACTGTTGTGGCCATTAAAAAATGGATGACAACTCTAGTTTGGGTTTTGGTCTTATGTGGATGGAGAGATTATAACAGAGATTGTATTCACACATTCTGTTTAGCTCAAAAGTATAAAATATAATAGCTCCTAACATTTCAACAGGTTACTCTGATATATTCAGTTCAAGCAACAGTGAATATTTATGGGCCCAACTCGATGAGCCTATTCAAGGCTGGTCCATAACATGATAGATTGAGCTCTTTAGTAGGATGGCACAGTAATCCTAATTACTGACACTCTTACATAGATGTTTTAAAAGGTTCCAGTGACTCTTATGAAAATCATCTCCATCTTCTTCCTTTCCTGGGGGCCTGTTACATTCAAACACACACTATTCACCAACAGAGAAAAGCTCAGTGAGATCAGTCACTGAGAATCAATGTTCCTCTCAGCCAAAACACAAGCCTTCCTAATTTAGTTTTCATGTTTGACAGAAGCAGTAAGACCATCTGCAGTCCAACTGAAAATGCCTAGCTTTTATTTTACAGATTAAAAACCTGGTAGCAGTGAGTTGCAGACAATTTAATAACAGAGTCCTTTCTTCCTCTAAGGTTCTGCAGTTTATGTCTGGCTCCTCCCATTCTCTAAACTTCTTTTGTTTCCTTGGCTAAAGGGCACTGCAGCAGCCCATCTACAATTAGTAGATGGCCTGTCACCTCCCAGCCTAGTTTACTACTGGGTCTTCATACTGGTGGCAATGTTGCTCATAACAGCATGATTCTTTTACTAAATTATAGCAATCAAAGCAAGAAAACCAAAGACCTGGCCAGGGCTGTAATTATACTGTAATGCTCCTCATACTGCCAAGTCATAATTCCATCAAGACTTGTCTGAGGGTTGGGAAACCAGTTCAGATGATCGGTACTTCCTGGAGCTCACCCACATGACAAGCCAGGGAAACATCAACTGAATTCATTTTCAGTCATGGAACAGAAGTCTGAGGGCAGAGGCTGGCACGCATTCTGAAAATAAGGCTGCTTCTGGACTGGGACTCTGCTTCACTGAACATTGTGCGCCTGCGTAATATTAAGGCCATTAGAAACTGTCTGAAAAGGGAAAGGAACATCTTCAGTTTGCACAGACGCTTTATATCCCCTATTATTTCTTGTTTGAATTACTGAAACCAGATATTGCACGGGATTACTGATGAGCCTAGTTGTAAGAACTAAAATTATTCTAATTTGACATCCTTGAATGTTGGAAATAACACTAAGTTCCTTTCAAGGCTGAGAGAAGATTTCTCTAACTAGCCCAGTTTACTACACTGATCTCTTTTTACCTGCAGCTTTCTGGAAAGAAGTGATGGCCTCCTCCAGGCCATCCATTCTCTGTCGGTTACTACGGGTACCAATCTGAGAGTACAGGGCAGCCATGTTGAAGAGGATGCTGGCCTTCTCCAGTGACAGGTTCTGTTGGCACACTGGCACTCCTGTGAAGGAGTCATACCTGAAGAAAAGAGAAGGGAGTGCTCACTATTTACTTCTATAAATCATAAACCAAAACAATCACAGAGTGTCTTAAAGAAGTAAAAGCCAGGAAGATCAATGCAAAAGATACAACAAGTGATACAGATTAGTGGAGGTTCAAAACATGCAGAGTAGGATTTAATCTGGTAAATACAGCTGTAATAAAAGCCTTTTTTGGCACACAGAGTATAAAGAAGGTTAAATAGTAACATTTACACTTCTAGGTTTGAAAATGTCTGACTTTAAGCCATCTGTAGGCTTTCTTCTTTCTTCGCAGCCTTCACCTGGATGCTTTGACATATATTTCAATTTGTACTCCATAATCAGTGATTAATAAACTTGATAAAAGAATGTGTGTACTTCAGTCCCACTTTGTATACAGATTTGTAAAAAACACTTTCCACAGTAACTGCTTTGTTAATATTTACCAATTTTGATCAAATTATCAATTTCTGTGTCTTCCCGTTTCTCTCCCACTTAGAACAGATACAAAAAATGCAGCAGAGAGGCACAAACAAGCCAAAAAGCTGCAGTCAAACCAATCCGGTGTCCTTCAGGTGCTCAACATCTCTGTTACTTGCGCCGCTGAAATATAATCCTCTTCTGCTTCAACATCCTCGATTGCTTCTGATTTATTAGCCCTTTTCCCTCTTGGAGGCATTTTAATAGCTGTAGAATTTGTTCAAAGACTTGAAAATGTAGAAGATGTGATAAATCGTAGAACAGACAAGAGGAGCAGTAAAAAAGACGTCTGCTCTCCCTTGAAATAATCCAATCTGCTAACATGATATAGTGAGCAAAACATAGCTTACATGCTAAACATCAGCATGTTGGCATTGTCAGTGTTAGCATGCTATCATTAGCATTTAGCTCATGACAGATGCAGGTAATTAGCAAACTAGTCCGTGAAAGGCTTATTTTGAGTTAGACAACTAAACAAAAGCATTTTGTTTTGGATTCTGGATATGGAAAATACTGAAAGTCTGCCATGCTATACACCCAACCTGCTTTGCTACATAAAATGAACATTATGTTTACAATGACACTGAATTGACTTCAGGAAATGCCTCCCACCCTACTGCCCCTCACCATACTTGGCAGCACTGTATCAGCAGTAAAGTCTTTCAAGTTCCTGGGCTCCACTATCTCCCAGGACCTGAAGTGGACGTCCACCATCAGGACCATCATCAAGAAGGCACAGCAGAGGATGTACTTCCTGTGCCAGATCAGGAAGTTCGACCTGCCCCAGGAGCTGCTGATACAGTTCTACAGAGGAATCATCAAGTCTGTTCTCTGCACCTCCATCACTGTCTGGTTTGGTTCAGCAACCAAACAGGACAAGTACAGACTTCAGCGGACAGTCAGGACTGCAGAGAAGGTCATTGGTGTGAGCCTGCCCTCCATGGAGGACCTGTACACCTCACAGGTCAAAAGGAGGGTGGAGAGGATCACTGCAGACCCCTCA